ATATATATATATATATATATATATATATATATATATATATTTGAACAAACATGGAAGCAGGAAAAAAAAAAGAGTTATACCTTGAGCTATTGCAAAACAACCAACTATACATGAGAACACATTCCTATGAAATGTTTAGAAGGAAGCAGGCTTTGGGAGGGGGACGGGTCATTTTCCTGCCACAGGTGGAAAAAAATACTGGGAATAACTGTAGTTTGACTGCTTTGGAAATACATGGGTCATTTCATAAGAATTTGACAAACAGGGTGGTGGTATCAGGGTGTAACGTGTTACTTCTAATAAACAATAATAGGACACTGCAACGGCTTTTAACTCTTTCTAATTTATGTGGTTTGGTTCACATTAGTGGTGCCTTTTTAATGGCTAAATCTATACTATATTGTGAGTGAAACATGCTAACTCCAAATAGCTATTGTAGCAAACAATGTGTGAATAATGTAACAAAATAAAAACAGCCATTAAGAGATAACATTACAGGTGTTGTAACATATTAAGCTTTGAAATTAAAAATGCCATTACTATAATATAAAATTTAGAACTGCATGTATCAAATGTTGGTTTTAATTCGTCAATCCTGAAACTTCGTATTGGATGCCAAATTAAAAATGTTATTACCAGCATGTTAGACAAGTTACCTCATTAGCAGTTTAGATTTTACAACTTATTTTAGTGTCTCCGTTTACAATTTGTGACAATGTAAAAAATAAAAAGGCTCCAAGGAACCACTCTCTCGGCCATGTTTATAGCATATCGACAAACTGTTACAGTACAAAAGAAAGCCATTATTATTGCATTACCTGTTTTCAAATACAAAAGCACCTAAAAGCCTTGTGTGTGTTAAACAGAGCTGTGGCTGACAGAAAAAAGGAAAATTTGTTCTCTAAGCCCTCTGCATGGTCTGAGGAAAGGAGTGAGAAAAAAAAGCACAGAGACAATGCAACACACTGAGAGCCATGAAATTAAAGACAGAAGGGGAATGATTCTCAAAGGAGGTGCAAGATATCCTTGATAGCGAGCTTCCTTTCCATCCCCCCATCAGACTTTCCCCTCAGAGTGCCAGTCATAAATCTGTCCTGCTTGCCGACGCCTTTATTGAACCTTTGGAAGAGGCCTCCATCCTAACGCTGCCATTCTAACCCCACCGCTAGCTCCTCCTCAGACACACAAATACATTCACAAATTTACATTAAAGCTCCATAAAAAGCTCATGTTCCACTACAACACCCAGGGGCATTTTTCTTAATCCAGCTTTAAAAGAAAGATGTTTTAATGGCCCTACCCCAAATCTGATTAATGTAGAGTCATAAAAAGACACAGCAGATTTGGGGGCACCGTACT